ACTGATGAACGATCTGATTCAAAATGAATGAGTGGCAGGCAGTGATTGATTAATCAATTCATTAGCTGATTGGCTGACTCGTCAAAATACCTCGCTCATTTGACTTCTCTTCCTTCTCATCTATCAAGAGGAAATAGCTGCAGGATTAGTGAACAATAGGGACAATGAAATGACGTGTGTGAGGAAAAAATTCACAATGGCTGACAACAGCAACGAGCCTGCGAGTAGATGTGACCATGATTGAGAATCAGAGCAACTGACATTATAGTGAGAATGCTAAAGATGACTGACACAAACTAAAAGGGGAACCAGTAAGTGCAAGCAGATGGTAATGTTGTGTGAGAACAGCAAACCAGAATGTTTGACAGGACTGTGAGCAGCGATGAGCAACTACAAAGGGCCAATAACAAAGGTAGAAACTGAAACTTGTTGGCAAGCTTCCTAACAGGAAACGGGACAAGAAAGGTAGACAGGACATGGTACTGGCTTACATTTGTTAATTTTGTAGATACAAATATATGTCTCTTTGGAGAGGGAAACAACAAAAAGGTGGGAAAGGGGCGAGCCCTATGCATGTATCCTGGCTAGTTCATTAATATGCAATGTTCAAATGTGGAAATAATTAATCTCCCAATCAGTTAGTATGGTTGACAGTGCCCTTACACATGATGGCCCAATGGAATGAATTATGATGCTTTGCAGATTGCCCGACCATGACAATCACGATACCAGTGTGTGCAAGATGCGCGTCTCTTAAAAAATAGAAGTGCGGACATACTCGGCACAATGAATGACCTATTCCCACTAGGTTTAACCTCAGACAACTGCCACTAATGTCCACAAACTTGATTAGCCTGAACACTTAACGAAATCTCGCATGGCACCATCCAAGTGAACAACAGTAATCTTTGACCATACGACACTACACTATCGAAGTCAACGACAGCAATGTTTGATCATGCAATACACTATGGACTTTGGTAGAATAGTAACATTCTGCTTAGGAACTGGAGCGCTTCACAAAGAAAGCAACCACAATACCTCATCACACACATGAACACCTAAATGTGCATGCAATGAAAAGAGAAACACAGGTCAGAGCTGTGACTCTAGGTCGGCGCTGTGACTGAAGGGTTGACATAATAGGGAGGGGGACGGCACTGCGATAAACCTTTGTCTGCCCTGAAGGCGAAACCTGAGAACGCCTACACTCACTACAGATCCGCTGTGACGTCACTACAACTTTCGTCCACCTTCCTACAAAGCTAGGTCAATGCTGGATGCAGTTGCAATAGGCTTCCGTCGCAACTGCAGAATGAGAATTTAGGTACACTTTGGAAGTGAATTCAACTATATTCTTAACAATTGCTGTGTCTGACCATGCATGTGGAGTGTCCTTGCATACAGAGGAAACACACAAGAGGCTTGTTATAGCCTCAAAATTTGATGGCGCCACCCATTTGAATAAGTTGCATCGCTTCTTTTGTTTATCTACCTTCCCCTGGTAAGAAAAACTAGCCACAAAAGTGTGCGTTACCCTGACAGGAATTCCCGCTAAATATCAGCACGGTTATATACATTTCGACGATACTACATATAGTGCCCGAAAGTAACAAGACGTATTTGCAGAGCACACATGCAATAATAAGCTCACGGAACGGTTCATTTGATTGACCTACGGCACAAATACAATGTTTATCTGGAGTAGACAAGTATGACACCTCTTGGCAGGTGTTGCCGTTCAGCTAGAAAGAAATTGTCGTCATGAAGAGAAATGGATATGGCTGTCTCATGTTATGCAGGAAAACTTGCTGAGTTGTGGATACCGCATTAGACACGCGGTTAGAAAGGTGCACAATTTAATACTGTTCCATGTTCCTCAGTGGTAACATAAATTAGTGCTGATAAAAAGCAAAACAAAGCAGCCACACGCACAGAAAAAGAAGGATCCCCTCATAGCGTTAACTCCTTGGCATTGCTCAACGAAGCAATGTGGATAGAAAACTGAAATAGTCTGTTTGTATTCACGGTGTGGTTTATGCAGCATTCGCAAAAAACATGTAGGGAAAACATGCAGATACAGGCACTGACCCTCAACAGAATTTTATGAAAGCAAACATGAAAGAAACCTTGCTGTTCATATATTTCCCCGTGGACAAATATATACATGTTATAGCAAAAGGTGCGTGAATGTGAGATTGAGCGAGCATAACCGATCTTTGGTTGACGCCAAGTTCACTGCCAAGTGCAACACGAGTGTGGAGTATCCACATGAGTGCTGATATGTACAGCACATTTTAATGACATCATCTCATAAAAGCACAGACTATGTGTTAGCCATGGCAGCTAATCAAAGCCTTCCACATCGGAAGACCAGGCGACAGTTACGTCATTAAACTGTCAATCCGGATATGGAACTAAGACTACAAATTTTCAATGGCTACTCCGCTAGTCCACGGTATGACCTGAAGACTGGTCTGTTTTGCATGCGGAGATATGTACGCCAAATAACACCAACAACATAAAGCTAAGCACATATTTTGCATTTTTCTCCATACCCAAATGTGTCCGTGGTACACGGGAATAGAACAGAAAGCCCCATGCCTAGCAGCATAATGCCACATTCACTCAACCAGATGCAACTGGCAAATACGTAAGAACGAAAATAATAATAGAAGTAATAATAATAATAATAATAATAATAATAATAATAATATAATAATAATAATAATAATAATAATAATAATAATAATAATGTTATAATACTTCCACCCCAACCCTGATTCAAAGGGATGCATAGGATATCTATCGATCCAGACAAAAAAAAAATAAAAGTGCAGATGACTGCGTTCACCGTTCTTCCTTGTCTTTTATCAGCTTGCGCTGCTTCCGTTTTAAGCAAAATGCACAAAATAGCCGAACAACAAGCTCCGTTGAAGCCAAATGCAAATATGGTGTTCAACAGGAAGTGCAACTTATCAGCTGTGATAAGAAACAGCCATGTGAACCAGGAAGTATCACCGCTATACTGCGCGCAGTTACAAAAAAAGAAGTGACAAATGTATGCGAGGGCCCAACCTTCTGTGCAAGTAATCAAAAGCCCTCGTTTAGCAGAACATAACAGCTAACGTGAATATCCACCAGCCGAAACTCATGCAAACAAGAGAGGCAGAATATAAACGTCACGGCCCACATTTCTGAAAACCCGGTACCATATGTCTGCACGCAAGCCTCCTACGCCAGCTGTTAAAACACGATATCAGCACTCATAATATAGAAACTTGCCAAGCCATAGCCTACAGCTGTTGTTGTACCTTTCCACAAAGGCCTCTATCCTAGCTGCCACCCCAATGCTATGCTCATGTAGGACAGGAAATGGTCATGTTAGGCATTTAAAAAAATAAAACATCAGCAAACATTATATCCCCCCCCCCCTTACCCGTCCCACCAAAATAATACCAATAACAACACGCACAACGACAACAAAGTATGTAGCAGTCGTAAAAATTGAGGTGTGAAAAAAAGTGTTTATCGGTGACAGTGCACAATGGCTTCCAAGCAAGATAAGAATGGTGCTCAAGTTTTATCACGTGGAAGGATTTCCCCACCATGACAAACTATTCACATGTGACCTGATTTATAAGACAACACAAGATACACTAGCAGAAGATACAACTATAAGGCACGATAATAGCCAAGGCAATGGGGAGAACCCTTAACTGCATTAGCGGTGCCACGAAGTCCTAAAATAAACAAAGCTACAATTGAAATAGCAGTAACAATCTCATCACAACCAGATTGTAATTTCACGTTGCTAAAAAGATTTCAAATAATTACTTGCTGCACGAACCAAAGGAGCGCAAGGAACAGCGTGGAATAATCGGCCCACAACTATAATACAATGGTCTAAAAACAAACGGTTCCGGGACTTAGTAAATGCAGTCTGTGGAATCGTTGTTATCCACTGACATTTGTTGAGGTATACGAGTTCACCCTAAGCACAGCAAGAGCTATCGATTTTAACTCATTAGCTGTAACTTCTGTATACTGGCAATGCCCACAATATGCTCAACAAATGAATGCAAGACACAAGTGATGCTCAACTTCCTCATCCATCTCTCCACAGAAATTGTCTCGTTTATCATTATCTCATAACACTCTCCATAATCCACACCTGAAGAATGAATTTATTAGTCATCATATTGTCTGGTCGTACAAATGCCCATCACAAAGTGTAAGTTCCTTGTACTAACTTATTTTGCAATTCTTACATGCTGAAGACAGCCAAAAAATGGGACAATCTGCCCACGTCCACGGTCGCCTTTCCAAGTGTTTATGCACTTGAATCCACGGTTGAAGATTATTGTTTGCATTAGCCGTTAACAGATGCACATTGTTCTAACTACCACTCCCTTCTGTACAACATCTGGCACTAAAGGTATCGAAACAAATAAATAAACAAATAACTCTGCAACGGCAACAATGTGTATCAGATTTGTCTATCAAAAGGTATGTGATTCGATTGTCAAATCTAAAACATTAATAACTTCATCCATCCTGCCTACTGAGTCAGTACTTGGATGACAGGGATCTGATGTAAGAGCATGGACATGCTGTGGTCACTGGCCAAGCTGAAAGAGGTGTTCTAGCGCAGACTGAATGATCGAAGAGGCAAGACAGAGCATCACTGACTTAAGAGGACATTCCCGGCTATAACGTAGAGAATGGTGATGTCTTGCATATGGTACCTTCCTGTACCGGAGATTTTACTGGAAGTGCGTAGTGGCTATATCCTTGCTTTTTAGCTGTTGCTTTGATTGGGCACTTTAGGGCAGCAACTTCTAGCTTGATAATGCCTGGTTAGTGTTTGCTCAGACCAAAAATTAAGTTCTGCCAAATCATCCGCTTCCTCATTTTCATTTGCTGGCATGTCGTGGCTACCATCTGCAGACCTGAAAAGAATCGAGCACGCAAAAAAATGCAAAGGTTTGCAGGCTTACCTGAGTTGTTAGGCTCTGAAATCCAAATTTGCGCTGAAAGAGGCGCACAAACTGTGACACGTATGCTCCCTCCCAGAGGCCCCGGATGGCTTCAGACGGATTCCCATCTGGACAGAGACAAAGTATAGAGACGTGAGTGTAACCTGATCTTGAATGTAGCCATATTAACATGACAAGTTCACAAATTTGTCTCTATAAATTTTCGTTGTTGTTCAGAAAGTTCACAATTCAAAGGTACACTAAGGAAAAAGAACTGTTTTCTTGCTAATTATCCTTTCATGCCATGCCATAAATTTTGCAGCATCTACAAAGGCCTTAGTAATTCTGTACTATTAATTACCTTTTGCTCCATGGGAGAATGAAACAAAGCACAGCAAGTTACAGAAAATTTCAGAGAGCCAATCCAATAAGATTATCGTAGAAGACTTTAAAATCTATGATGTAACACTTACATTCACATGGTGAATTTCAGCCCAAAACAAGAATGAAACGCAGACCTTCAATTCTTCTCTTGGTAATGAGACTATGATGGCAAAATAAGTTACAAGAGAGCTGTCAAAGAATTATTCAACAGTCCAAACCTATTTAGTGCTTCACTTCTGAGGCCTTTTAAACCAGTTCCAATATTTCCTTAACATTTCAATTAAACATGCGTGTCATGTTCCCAATGCCATCATGACCAATGCCAATTGCAGTCACATTACGCATCTCTCAACAGAATCCAGAGACTGAATACTATTTCTGCTGTCTTGCAGAAGATATGCTCGTGTCACTATTTTCAATTATGCTCATGGTACAACCCATAAACAGAGAATAACAATGTGCGAGGGTAGAGATATTATTCATAATCAAGTACAGGTAACCACATAGACATGCACTGAAATATTACATGCTGACCTAAGGAGAGTTGCTTATGTTCACCAAAGAAATATTGCGTACTCTCTCAGCGAAGTGGAGAAAATTGACAAGCTGAACCATGTGAAACAGAGAGGTGGTAGTAGTGGCAAGCAGCACAGCCTTACAGAGCGCAGACACCTTGCAGTCATCCCCCATTTCAGGATTTCAAAAGGCGAACACGGAAGCATGACCCCTTAACTTAGCAGCAAATAGGGGCGCTTTCAAGAAATATTAGATATCCTGTGTCTGTTTGCTTTTATTTGCTACATTTTTGCGATGCATATCACTGTAGTAGCGTTCAACTTGGAACTTTCCACCACAATACCAGTAATGTAAAAACCATGGGGCACAACTTTTATTGCAGGAATGGTTATGTACAGGTGTGCGACGAAATTCCCCAGGTCGCAGTACCAGAGGATTACACGCGATGGCATCCTGGGAACTTTTTGCCGCCCCTGTATATAGAAGCAGCTTGTCAACAATGTAATGTGCCTCAACATGTCACTCGATTGTAAACAAAGAACACCCAGTGCCCTCAAAGCTATAGAACTAAGTGTGACTTAAATTCTTTTGAATGCACAGAATTACACAGCTGGACTGTTCATGGTACTGAAACACTAGGCAAAATAAAACTAACAACATTCTTTGATATCAGTTCTTAAAGACGGTAGCTCAAGGCCAACCAGCAAGTTAAAGCTAAGGCTGACTGGCCTCCGAGAGTCGTGCAACCCAACCAAGACATTTCATGCCGTGCAGCGGATCCCGGAGGTAGTGAAAGAAGCACCGTCACCATTTCTACTCTTACCACTGAACATGCAGTCGAACACTGGCAAAGTGGACACGATCATGACAAATCAGAATATACACCAAAAATAAATATACTTTCCTGCCTCTGTGAGCACATAGTAGATATATGGACAAAATGAGTTCTGATTTTACTAACAGTATGTTTGCATTCCATGTGACTTCACAAAATAACAAGGTTTGAACTGAAGACCAGCACTTGGAGGTGGCAGTGCTTACAGCACTTGACTGCAGTGGACGAAGGAACGCCCCAAAAATTGGTTTAGGTTTGTTTGCTCCTCAAGTGTTCTGCTAAAAAAGTCCCCCAGATTCATGCTCGTGTTTTAGCTCAGCCAGATGAGAAAGCTAAAATTGACTATTCAAATCTATGAACTACTTCAACTAGTCAAACGAAGAATTACATTTAATTTTCAAGAGTATATTCAACTGCACAGCTAAAAATACCACTTGCAACACATATGTCTTGATGCATCGCATGCAAGATTTTACAATCTCCACGAATGGCTAGCTTTATGACAATGCAGCTCAGAGGCATATTGAATCAAGAAATCATCAAGTCCTTCAAGGTTAACACTTTTAATAAATGTCCACATGAGCACTGTCTCAATCTTAGTACTTTCAGTTCGAGTTTTGTTCAGATAAGACGTGAATGTGGCATAGTTTATATTCTGCATACGGCCAGAACTACTGCAGCCACAAGTTACCTTCAAGATTCTTAACCCAATTTTTATGCAGTGCTATATGTTCTAAAGTAGGAAGACAGGAAGACATGCTCTTAAAACTCACTTGGTCAAGTCTTTAGTTCTTCTATAACATAGAGAAATCATTACTTATTAGCTATCGACCAGTCACAAGCAAATACTGCACAGTGCTCATGACATCACACTGATATGGTGAGCAAAAATTAAGCCCATCTCAATTTTAAGTCTCTTTCTGGCACACATATGTGCTATTTTAGAATCCCTATAACATAGACCAAACTGTACGAGTGTTTTTGAGGTACAACATTGTTCGGCACTGAAATGTATCTTTGTTTCATACCACTAGGAACTGATACCATGCGCTTTATCTTTGTGAAGCAAGCCAGTGCACTTGACAAATTTTGCCTTTTGCGACAGCCCCACAGAAATGCTCACTACCCAAACTTAAAAGGGCACTAAAGCGAAGCAACAAATTATATCAGACTGATCAATTGCACTCGAGACCACCATCACAGGTTTATAATGGAGGATAAAATCTATGTCAAACTTTCCTTTTTAAATTTCACACCAAACTCTCCACAAGTGACGTCATGGATTTCAAAGAGCATTTATCGTACTTGAGCAACATTGGCTGAGCAAAATTTCTTGAAACTTGATGTGTTACGCCTACAACCAACTCAAAGGAAAGTGCACTTCATATTTACTGATTAAGAAATACGTTGAACCTAGGACACACCACCAAAATCTACGACGTCCCAGTAGTTTGTACAAGATTATCAATGTGGTGTATTCACCTGTATTTTCTCTTTGCGAGCTATCTTGTTTTCCAAGCACGGTGATTTTTTAATCGAGCAAGAGCAATTTACCAATGTTAATAAACCATTTTTCTCTTTACTGTCCCTTTAATCTTAACTGCTGCAGGTGTTGTCCATTGTGAGTTGTGTAAAATACTGTTCTCACTTTGTCTCGTTTCCAAGTTTGGGGCATCCAACACCTTCGCCACCTTTGAGTAGTGACAATTATGAAAAGAGTACCATCTGGGTAGAGACAAGCTCAGCTCCCATAGACACAACACTATAAATTTGCCTTACAGCTACTTAAAGTGTAGAAGGCACTGGGTTCGGGCTACTTGGTGCTGATCCATTACTTATGTAAACACTAAAGGCATGTCCGTAAGACGAGCGAAGAACACAGGACAAGCACTTGTCCTGTGTCTTTCGCTCGTCTTACGTACGTGCCTAAAGCCATAAGTTATGTACCTAAAGTCTTTGAATAGTAGCCCAGAGAAATAAAACCTTCAGACGTGACCTTGACATCTGTATTAAACATCATTGAATACAAAAGCAGCTTTTGTAAATGACAGTTAATAAAGGTTGAGCAGCCTTTGCATACATTGTATTTTCCTATATCTTCAAGCAGATATGGTACGTTTTTAAGCACCCTGAATATTTGTCATAAACACATCAGGATTTATGTGATGCCACCAGCATGTGCAGAAGTCAGATAGAGAAAACATCAAAAAGCAGATTCAATATAAATGACCTAATGCTGTGAGGTACATGAACTGTCCAGGGCCCATTTATGGCAACATTACAAAAGTACTGAAAAAGTCTACATGCATCAGTCCTTTTTTTTTTCTATAATACACATTCCATCTGAAAGCAAACATGCCGGAACAACCCTTACATTGAACTCGTGTACTTTGTGGCTTCCTGTTTTGAAGTCTGCAATGTGCTTTTTGAAAAGACGATGCACTTTATAAACATTGCAAGACTCCAAAAATGTTGTTGAAGGAATCCAAACTACTTCAGTAACATGAACTACCTAACTTAAGATCCCGAGCAAGCGCCTCCTTCCCTTCCTCACAAGATTTCAAATATGCAACCTTTTCTGCCCAACCACTATTTCCCCAATTTTCATTTACGAGAAAATGCGAGTGCATTCCATAAAGCACTTAATTAAAAACATTTCATTAAAAGCAATTTATTCTTAGCACCCTTGTGCCACCATCTTTAATTTGGATCCCTGAACCAACGACCCCATCCGCCAAATCGTGTCGATTTATCTGTCACAGTGGGGGGGGGGCTGCTTGGGATATTACTTATACGGCAAGTATACAAAATATTGAATAATAATGATAAGTTTCCTTCTTATGAACACACCTCCGAATTTACATGAATGTGTAATATGTCATGATATCTAATAATCACTGATATTCAACAATCATAAAAATGTCATTATTTCTGGGATTTCATGCGCACGCTGTAGTGGGGGGAGTTGGGATTATATATTCATGACAGTTCATGGCAGTTCTACTATCCAACGATGCAGCTTCTTGCTTATAAATGGCACTGTTTCTGCCTGTGTCAGCAGAAGCAATAGATAAGAGGTTGCAGAGTAAAAGAAATTGACATTTCTGGTAGTACCGCTATTTGACACAGAATAGTGCCCATGCCCTGCACTAGTCGCACATAGAGATGAAAACCGCATCGGCTAATTTTGAACTGCACGCTCATGTTGAAACAAAAATACTTTTTTAGAGAAATCTTTGCTCCCAGACTATTGTCGACTTTAGACATAGCCCTGGGTTTACACTTTGTTCTATGGTGGCATGCTAAAGTGACATGAAACGGAAAGCACGTATATCTGGAAAGGTTGGGTAGGCATAATGCAAGAATGGTAGGCCAATGGTATTCCTTCTTGCACGTCACCAGTGGTTCACAGTGATGCTTAGACCACACTCCCAATGGATTTAGCTGGTTTGTGAATGATGGATAGGAAAGGCACAGAATCTGGAGAAAGGGAAGCTTAGATTATACTGGCTGTGATGCCCCATACGATGTGAACCCAAACATGGCTGGAATTTTTTTTTTTTTTAATTTCTCTGCATCTGAACTTCCTCATGTCTTCAAATAACCTTCAGGTGACACCTACTTGCAGCAAATGCCAAGCAAAAATCTAGAAGGGGCAGATAAACTTCCCACGTTGTGTTTACAAGATGGCTTCTTACATCTCTGAAGTGAAAAAGGTAACCTTAAAAACCTAAAAACTTCTCTATAGTGCCATCATCCAGCACTTTCGCAAACTAGGGTGCTTCTATACGTACTCAAGTTCACTCCGAATATTAAATTAGACTTTTCTGCCGCTCACTGAAGCAGAAACGCACGATACTGCTAAAGCATTCACTGCCCTTGACATGCGGCGTCATTTTCGGTCACGTGACTGGGTAGGCTATGTGCTTCGTCAGTGCGCGGCATGGTCAGAGAAGTCACTCTAATGCGTCGCGACGAAACCTCAGTCTGTGAGAGGTCCGACTCCCGTGCTACCAATGTTCATACGCGCCACGACCTCCTCGTGATACGCGCAGACATATCACGTCGTACACGTTACAAAAGCAGCTGACACGTGAGCGGTACACAAACGGCTGCAGGTACGACCGTACTTGCCGACGCAGTACAAAAGTTAACGCTTAACGTTCGGGTTTCCCATAGACAACGAGCGCGAATCGCACGGGGCCTTGTGAGACGTATTTTTGGGGGTTTAGTACGTCCGTTGCAGAAAAGCAAAGAAAATTATCGTGATGAAGGCGCATCAGTAGTGTGGGCACAGTGCGTGCGTATGCTAAACGCGTGCACTTTCGGGGTTTCGCCTGGAGCTAGCGGCCGCAGTGAGCACGAAAGCCTGCTGTAAACAAAACGCGAGAGGTGCCCAGCCCGTGAGTGGGGGGTGAGGGGTGCTTGAAAACACGGCGGCATTTCGCTTCGCGGCCGGAGGGGGCCACGACGAACCCGTGAACCTGAAGAGCGCGGCGGCCGCCACTATTGTCCGATCGAGATCAATTTCGCCCCGCTCTCCCCTGCCACCCCACTTGTGGTACCATGCCCGAAAGCGTGCGGTTTTAAAAGAGACACAGGAGAGTGCTGACCTTGTGTTTTGAACTTCCTTGGCATCTTCTCCGAAAGTCACCTAAGCGCGGTGCACAGTTCCTCTGAATCACTGATCGGGACATCCATGCTTGATCAGTCATGTTGTTGCCATGTGATTTTGGGCAGCGCTTTCGGGAGATCGGCGATTGTGAGTCCAGCAGAGAAGACGAGACACTCACGAAGCGGTGGTTTGTGGTGGGATGCAGCAAAATAAACAAACAAAAAAAACAACAGCCGAACGAAACACTGGCTATTTCTGCCAGCCACAAATGGCGCGAACGAGCGCGTTGACTCGAGTTTACATCACACGTTCAACGCACGGGCCTCTCGGGCACACAGGCTCGTGCGGAAGGAAGGGCGCGCGATTTCGCGGCGGTTCACGGGCGCCCGAGCACAGCCGAAGCACACGCTAGCAGCACGGCACCACACACAGAAGCGGCCGATCCGCGACAGGCATCCAACCCATGGCGGCCCCGACGGTTTGCTGTCGAACGTCGCGACGGCTTGTCGATGATCGACGCGGCTTCATCGCCGCTTGCGGTCACGGCGGCCCGTCACCTTGTCGTCTCCCGGTTGAAGACGGTGCACGCGATCTCGTACGGCGGTCATTGCGAAGCATCCCACGAGGAACGATTATTTCGGGATCGCAGCGTTTTAGGCCTACCGCGATAGCTCTCCCTTACCTGGCCGAAAAGTAGGCAAGAAAGGCACTTTCTGGCGTCTCACAGCCGCGCATACTGGTGGCGCCATCCGACGCCGTATTTTCAAAACATCAACTTTTTTTCTTTTTGCTCACGCCTTCTTTCTTTCTTTTTTTCCGACCTCGTTCATTTCTTCTCTTTTGTACACGCATTTTTATTTTGGCAGCAACAGCAGCACTACTGCGCTGCAGCGCGGTGCACAAGCCGTCCCCGTTGTACCGCACGGAAGTGGCGTCATGCATTTTTTTCTTGGTTAGGCGCGTCTTTTGAATCGTTCGATTGGAATATGGCACGGTTTCACCTAATCAGCAAAATCAGCAAATAAAGGTTTATCCAATCAATAAAAGTTTATCCAATCCAATCACCTAATCAGCACGCGTCCATGTGCCTCTTTGTTAACACTAGAGTGACACGACACCAATTTTGGTCTGCCGACTGTATTTTGGGGGCGTTTTTTGTCTTGTCATTGTCCTATTTTTACTGCAACGACACAAACAGTCCACCGATGGCCCCTGGATGACTCTATCCGCGCCTTGTCGTGCTCAAATCCTTGTGCTCAAGTCCTTTCCTCGCTCAATGCGCTGGTCACACTGGATGCACACGCAACGACAGCGACTGAACTTGCACGAAGAACATGAAAGAGGGCCCCACCTGTTCCTAGGGAGGAGCAGGTGGGGCTGTCCTCCCTATGTCGCCATTGTCCCTCTTAGGCTACGCGGTGCAGCCACCGCCGTGTCCCTCGGCGTCGAGGAACAGGTGTAGGGACAGACAATGACGCAGCGAAAAAAAAAAACGACTTCTGTGAGGTGCGCGAAATGACCATTAAGTCCCGTGCGGGGCTTCCTTATCTCCCCCCAAGATATCCTCCTTCGTCGTTAGAAACGACAACACTGGCCACCGATCTCCCAACGACCTGCTGACGACAAGTGTCCCGATCCGTTTTTGTGGTGTTTTCGGTCCATCATACAGCACTACGACAACATGCTGCCTTTCGAGGCGTCGTCGTTGTTGTCGGCCTAGTACGACCAGACGGTCCAGCGACATTGTCGGCGGGTGACTCGTCGGCCGATCGTCTGCGTCGAGGTCATGTCAGTGTCGTGTCGCTCTAGCAGCAGCAGCCTTACTGCCGCGCTGCTGGTGGTCCTGTCTTCAGCCCCCTTCTACTTCCTCGGCGAGACTCAGGACGACACGCAAAAATTCAGATGCAGCTGGCTGCATCGGTTTATCAAGGTTCGCTCTGTTGACAAGAAGGCACACTGCAATAGACGTGATCTCTGAGCTGAGTCAATGAGCTCCTCGATTTCGTGAACGTCTCGTAGTTATGTACTATCACAATGAAAAGAAGCCTGAACAGCGTAAAGCGTTGCTTTCGGTACAGTCGAGCTTCAACATGGCTTGACTATCATTGGGTGAGTGTGTGTTTTCGACCGACGTCATAGAATTTTGTTTCGGCTGGCGCTATCACCTTGCGTGTGTTCTGGGTACAGCGCTCGACTGACAGGTGATAATCATAAGAAGTAATTGTGGACAAGTTTTCGGCCACCATTATTATAGCAGCCCCTGTTTCTTTTCGCATCTTGTAGCCGCGCCGAATATATAATATACTGATAAACACATAACGCATACAGCCTCACACGTAGACTACACTATTTACAACTGCTTCATTCAAGCTTGTGGCCCGCAAGCCTTTGCTTATGTGGAGGAAGGTTTAACTACAGTTATGTCTTTCAGCACGCATTAAGTGCGTCGTCTACGAAAGTAGTGCGCTGCGTTTGTTGATTCTCACAACTTCGTGACTGGCAAGCTATGAATGTTTAGCTTTGCATGCTCTGAAAGAGCTGTGCGATAGAAAAGGACAACCAAACGCCTCTGTTTTTTTTTGGTTTTTTTACTAGAAGAAAATTCAGGCTAAGAGCGCATTCCTCCAGTTATTGTACTCTCTAACAAGGTTTTGGGACGTTAATTCCCACATATGAATCATTAATCTCTAACAAGAATGCCGCCATTGGAAGCCGAACTGTATAAAACAGAACTGAAAGACACTAATATACGAACATATTCATATAGCTAGGTAAGACTATATTGCACAATTTAGCTTATTAGTGTTCGATGAATGCAGCATTATACAAATCCTGATGTTACATAGGTGCTGTAAAACGTTGCTATTTCTGCTCTGGACAGTCTGTCTGATGGCTCCGGACTTCCTCGGAAAAGTCTTTCTGGCTTTTCCAAGCCTGCTACAACACGTCTTTCCGGATACTTCAAACAACACGCACATTCTGCTGCTCCTAGGACCATACGTCGCCAAAACTCGTTGAGCTCACTCAGATTCACTCATTAAGTATATTTCGGCTTTGGACTCACTCGAACACACCAAATCATTTGAGTCGAGTACGTGAATCGACTTGTGAGTCCGTTAGACTAGGATTAGATGGCGTTAATGCTCTTTAACAGCAATACCTCACATAATAGAAACTATTCTTGCAGCCGTTTGACATAGTACGTTCGAATATGAGTTGTGAGTGATTTCAAACCAGTAATATCTTTTTTTTTTCTTGAAAGAGATGACAACATAATGCATATTTATCAAGAACGTCCCTGCAAGAGTTGGTGGGAGGAGGGGAAGTCAAGGCAATGTTACTAGAATCTAGTAACGTTGGGTCAAGGTACATCCTATGTAATTCGAGCCTGTGGTCAATAAATATTGAAACGGTGCATGAACGACACTACTGTCAAATACCTGTGAGTAGGCTTGAAAGTAAACATGAATCCAGGTAAGGTCAATAATTATGGTCGTGATCAGTAGATAAAACCACTGGTCGGCAAAAGAAAGTGGAACTCATTCAGACTCAGTCAAGAAGTATATATTCAGACTCAGCAAAATTATCCTGAGCCGACCTCACTCGGACTCACACTAAGAAAATTTTGTTCTACCAGACTCACTCAGATTCAGTTTCACCAAAACACTGTCCACCCGGACACGCTGAAACTCAGACTCACGGCTCGACCTGAGTCCGAGTGGTTCGACTCATGGGGGTGTTTGCCGACTTATGCCAATTCAAATCGGGTCACGAAGTTCAAAAGAGTTCGTTCTTTCCTTCGAAACAAAACCGAAACTATCAATAAACGAAATGCGATTTGCTGCCCGCAAGTACGAAGACCAGGCAAATCCATGTACTACCCATCATTCCCATGGTCGCTGAAGGATCGCTGTGCCAGATTCATAGTTAATTTTAGAAAACTCTATGTTCTGTTCTACATTGTGTCGATGCAAATAAAGAAAATCCCAGGGCTTCAGCGTGGCCCCCACTTGTACCACAGAGCCACACTCTTGAAAGCGCACTGTATGAGTATCATACATGTAGTGCGAAGAGTGTGCTTAGCGCACGTAATATCGCGTAGGAGAAGCAGCAGGCGTCAAAACGTGAATTGCACAGCAGGGAGAGTGGTGTCAAGCACCCATTACAAAGCGCTCAGACATACTTAATCGTCCTCGGCGAACGTATATCAACAAAGCAGATACGCATGTTGCCTTACTCACGCGTAATGGGCACTTCGCAAAATCGCTAAGGGAAAATAATCATGACGCAGTGGGATCTTCGCAACTGCACTAGCGTTAAGCATTCTCGGGTTGTTATCAACGGCCAAAGTAACTCTCCCGGGCGCTCATTTCCTTGCGGCACGGTTTAAAGGCCTGACCAGACGTGCGCGTTGCAGCGTGTCAGCGCGTGGCTTACTGACGCGGAGCCGCGCCCTCTCTCTTGGGGAGAGAGGGCGCGTGGCTACGCGACGTGCTCTCTTTTTCGACTAGGGCGCGACCCCGCGTAAAAACCTGCTCGCGTACGTGTGGGCAGGCCGTGAGTGGCCGCCGAGGAGCGAAGCCATGCTAGTGATTGAGAGCGCGCTGTGCACAGGGACAGATTGTGCTGAGTAGAAGCTCAAGCCGCCCTACGAATGTTTGTTCTGGACGTCACTGGCGTGAACATTGCACGATGTATACACAGACCACAGCAATTACAAGTTTAATCAGTTCCTCTCACTATCAACCCACACTTAATCCCACATGACAGCATCCCCGACCCCCGGGGGTGCAGCCAGGAGATGAAACACCAAGCCCGTGCCCCCCCCCCCCTCCCAAAATTTTTTTTCGCCACAGCATATAGAGAGCAAAAAATGACCACTTTAATAGAGCCCCCCCCCCCCCCAAAAAATTAAGGAGGTGCCCCCCTTAAAAAAACCTTTCTGGCTACACCCTCTCCCCCCCCCCCCCATTATGGGTGTCGGGAATGCTTGTCGCCACCGAAGCTTTGCCAGAGCTCGTCCCTTAGGACAACCGAGATGCAGATAATGATTGCAAATCATTGCAACCGACTGGAGGGAAGTGAAGAAAGGCAACTGAGCGCTGAACTTCCAACAGTTTATTTCTTTGGAATGTCTTCGGTATTCATATAGTCACGCACTGTTACAACAGCCATACACGGAACGCAATGAGGTTACAGTAATTTATCACATGGACAAACCTAAATATATCTTTTCTTCATGAGTGAGAGTGATAGAGGGGGTACTTATACAATCGTCATTTAAAGAAAAAAAATCTTTCCTCTTTCGATGATTTCACGTGTGATGCGATCTCTGCATTTTGCTACGATGTTAGAGCCACAATCCTACAATCTAGTTGCGCTGATTTTCACTCATAATTATGTTTTACTAACACGCCCATTCCTGCAGAACTGATTTTACGCGATGCAAAACTGGTTTACCCCCCCCCCTCCCACAAACACATTCTACCAACACTCGTGCCCCCACCCCCTCCATTAAATGTAGACCGACGCCTCTGATACATTCCGTATATTTTATTGAATACTTTCTGATGTTTATTTAGAGTGAATAATAGTGCACACACACTGTCTGGGTAGTGTGTGTGTGGGGGGGTGGGGGGGTGGGGTAGTTTATGTTTTACCTGCATGTAAGAAATGC